TGTTGGAGATGCAGATGTTGGTTGTGTGGATTGTGCAGTGTTGAGTGTAGTCTCAGTGTTGATGATGGTGGTGGTGTTGGGCACGACTTGTGCGTTGTCGAGTAATTGTTCTGTTGTGAGTTGCGCCACATCGGTAACTGGTTGTGATGTTGGTGATGCAGATGTTGGTTGTGTGGATTGTGTAGTGTTGAGTGTAGTCTCAGTGTTGATGATGGTGGTGATGTTGGGCACGACTTGTGCGTTGTCGAGTAATTGTTCTGTTGTGAGTTGCGCCACATCGGTAACTGGTTGTGATGTTGGTGATGCAGATGTTGGTTGTGTGGATTGTGCAGTGTTGAGTGTAGTCTCAGTGTTGATGATGGTGGTGGTGTTGGGCACGACTTGTGCGTTGTCGAGTAATTGTTCTGTTGTGAGTTGCGCCACATCGGTAACTGGTTGTGATGTTGGTGATGCAGATGTTGGTTGTGTGGATTGTGCAGTGTTGAGTGTAGTCTCAGTGTTGATGATGGTGGTGGTGTTGGGCACGACTTGTGCGTTGTCGAGTAATTGTTCTGTTGTGAGTTGCGCCACATCGGTAACTGGTTGTGATGTTGGAGATGCAGATGATGGTTGTGTGGATTGTGCAGTGTTGAGTGTAGTCTCAGTGTTGATGATGGTGGTGGTGTTGGGCACGACTTGTGCGTTGTCGAGTAATTGTTCTGTTGTGTGTTGCGCCACATCGCTAACTGGTTGTGATGTTGGTGATGCAGATGTTGGTTGTGTGGATTGTGCAGTGTTGAGTGTAGTCTCAGTGTTGATGATGGTGGTGTTGTTGGGCACGACTTGTGCGTTTTCGAGTAATTGTTCTGTTGTGAGTTGCGCCATATCGGTAACTGGTTGTGATGTTGGAGATGCAGATGTTGGTTGTGTGGATTGTGCAGTGGTGAGTGTAGTCTCAGTGTTGATGATGGTGGTGATGTTGGGCACGACTTGTGCGTTGTCGAGTAATTGTTCTGTTGTGAGTTGCGCCACATCGTTAACTGGTTGTGATGTTGGTGATGCAGATGTTGGTTGTGTGGATTGTGCAGTGTTGAGTGTAGTCTCAGTGTTGATGATGGTGGTGGTGTTGGGCACGACTTGTGCGTTGTCGAGTAATTGTTCTGTTGTGAGTTGCGCGACATCGGTAACTGGTTGTGATGTTGGTGATGCAGATGTTGGTTGTGTGGATTGTGCAGTGGTGAGTGTAGTCTCAGTGTTGATGATGGTGGTGGTGTTGGGCACGACTTGTGCGTTGTCGAGTAATTGTTCTGTTGTGAGTTGCGCCACATCGGTAACTGGTTGTGATGTTGGTGATGCAGATGTTGGTTGTGTGGATTGTGGAGTGTTGAGTGTAGTCTCAGTGTTGATGATGGTGGTGGTGTTGGGCACGACTTGTGCGTTGTCGAGTAATTGTTCTGTTGTGAGTTGCGCGACATCGGTAACTGGTTGTGATGTTGGTGATGCAGATGTTGGTTGTGTGGATTGTGCAGTGGTGAGTGTAGTCTCAGTGTTGATGATGGTGGTGATGTTGGGCACGACTTGTGCGTTGTCGAGTAATTGTTCTGTTGTGAGTTGCGCCACATCGGTAACTGGTTGTGATGTTGGAGATGCAGATGTTGGTTGTGTGGATTGTGCAGTGTTGAGTGTAGTCTCAGTGTTGATGATGGTGGTGGTGTTGGGCACGACTTGTGCGTTGTCGAGTAATTGTTCTGTTGTGTGTTGCGCCACATCGGTAAATGGTTGTGATGTTGGTGATGCAGATGTTGGTTGTGTGGATTGTGCAGTGTTGAGTGTAGTCTCAGTGTTGATGATGGTGGTGTTGTTGGGCACGACTCGTGCGTTTTCGAGTAATTGTTCTGTCGTGAGTTGCGCCACATCGGTAACTGGTTGTGATGTTGGAGATGCAGATGTTGGTTGTGTGGATTGTGCAGTGTTGAGTGTAGTCTCAGTGTTGATGATGGTGGTGATGTTGTGCATGACTTGTGCGTTGTCGAGTAATTGTTCTGTTGTGAGTTGCGCCACATCGGTAACTGGTTGTGATGTTGGTGATGCAGATGTTGGTTGTGTGGATTGTGCAGTGTTGAGTGTAGTCTCAGTGTTGATGATGGTGGTGGTGTTGGGCACGACTTGTGCGTTGTCGAGTAATTGTTCTGTTGTGAGTTGCGCCATATCGGTAACTGGTTGTGATGTTGGATGATGCAGATGTTGGTTGTGTGGATTGTGCAGTGTTGAGTGTAGTCTCAGTGTTGATGATGGTGGTGGTGTTGGGCACGACTTGTGCGTTGTCGAGTAATTGTTCTGTTGTGAGTTGCGCCACATCGGTAACTGGTTGTGATGTTGGTGATGCAGATGTTGGTTGTGTGGATTGTGCAGTGTTGAGTGTAGTCTCAGTGTTGATGATGGTGGTGGTGTTGGGCACGACTTGTGCGTTGTCGAGTAATTGTTCTGTTGTGAGTTGCGCCACATCGGTAACTGGTTGTGATGTTGGTGATGCAGATGTTGGTTGTGTGGATTGTGCAGTGTTGAGTGTAGTCTCAGTGTTGATGATGGTGGTGATGTTGGGCACGACTTGTGCGTTGTCGAGTAATTGTTCTGTTGTGAGTTGCGCCACATCGGTAACTGGTTGTGATGTTGGAGATGCAGATGATGGTTGTGTGGATTGTGCAGTGTTGAGTGTAGTCTCAGTGTTGATGATGGTGGTGGTGTTGGGCACGACTTGTGCGTTGTCGAGTAATTGTTCTGTTGTGAGTTGCGCCACATCGGTAACTGGTTGTGATGTTGGTGATGCAGATGTTGGTTGTGTGGATTGTGCAGTGTTGAGTGTAGTCTCAGTGTTGATGATGGTGGTGGTGTTGGGCACGACTTGTGCGTTGTCGAGTAATTGTTCTGTTGTGTGTTGCGCCACATCGGTAACTGGTTGTGATGTTGGTGATGCAGATGTTGGTTGTGTGGATTGTGCAGTGTTGAGTGTAGTCTCAGTGTTGATGATGGTGGTGTTGTTGGGCACGACTTGTGCGTTTTCGAGTAATTGTTCTGTTGTGAGTTGCGCCATATCGGTAACTGGTTGTGATGTTGGTGATGCAGATGTTGGTTGTGTGGATTTTGCAGTGGTGAGTTTAGTCTCAGTGTTGATGATGGAGGTGATGTTGGGCATGACTTGTGCGTTGTCGAGTAATTGTTCTGTTGTGAGTTGCGCCACATCGGTAACTGGTTGTGATGTTGGTGATGCAGATGTTGGTTGTGTGGATTGTGCAGTGTTGAGTGTAGTCTCAGTGTTGATGATGGTGGTGGTGTTGGGCACGACTTGTGCGTTGTCGAGTAATTGTTCTGTTGTGAGTTGCGCCACATCGGTAACTGGTTGTGATGTTGGTGATGCAGATGTTGGTTGTGTGGATTGTGCAGTGTTGAGTGTAGTCTCAGTGTTGATGATGGTGGTGGTGTTGGGCACGACTTGTGCGTTGTCGAGTAATTGTTCTGTTGTGAGTTGCGCCACATCGGTAACTGGTTGTGATGTTGGAGATGCAGATGTTGGTTGTGTGGATTGTGCAGTGTTGAGTGTAGTCTCAGTGTTGATGATGGTGGTGGTGTTGGGCACGACTTGTGCGTTGTCGAGTAATTGTTCTGTTGTGAGTTGCGCCACATCGGTAACTGGTTGTGATGTTGGTGATGCAGATGTTGGTTGTGTGGATTGTGCAGTGTTGAGTGTAGTCTCAGTGTTGATGATGGTGGTGGTGTTGGGCACGACTTGTGCGTTGTCGAGTAATTGTTCTGTTGTGAGTTGCGCCACATCGGTAACTGGTTGTGATGTTGGAGATGCAGATGTTGGTTGTGTGGATTGTGCAGTGTTGAGTGTAGTCTCAGTGTTGATGATGGTGGTGGTGTTGGGCACGACTTGTGCGTTGTCGAGTAATTGTTCTGTTGTGAGTTGCGCCACATCGGTAACTGGTTGTGATGTTGGTGATGCAGATGTTGGTTGTGTGGATTGTGCAGTGTTGAGTGTAGTCTCAGTGTTGATGATGGTGGTGGTGTTGGGCACGACTTGTGCGTTGTCGAGTAATTGTTCTGTTGTGAGTTGCGCCATATCGGTAACTGGTTGTGATGTTGGAGATGCAGATGTTGGTTGTGTGGATTGTGCAGTGTTGAGTGTAGTCTCAGTGTTGATGATGGTGGTGGTGTTGGGCACGACTCGTGCGTTGTCGAGTAATTGTTCTGTTGTGAGTTGCGCCACATCGGTAACTGGTTGTGATGTTGGAGATGCAGATGTTGGTTGTGTGGATTGTGCAGTGTTGAGTGTAGTCTCAGTGTTGATGATGGTGGTGATGTTGGGCACGACTTGTGCGTTGTCGAGTAATTGTTCTGTTGTGAGTTGCGCCACATCGGTAACTGGTTGTGATGTTGGTGATGCAGATGTTGGTTGTGTGGATTGTGCAGTGTTGAGTGTAGTCTCAGTGTTGATGATGGTGGTGGTGTTGGGCACGACTTGTGCGTTGTCGAGTAATTGTTCTGTTGTGAGTTGCGCCATATCGGTAACTGGTTGTGATGTTGGAGATGCAGATGTTGGTTGTGTGGATTGTGCAGTGTTGAGTGTAGTCTCAGTGTTGATGATGGTGGTGGTGTTGGGCACGACTTGTGCGTTGTCGAGTAATTGTTCTGTTGTGAGTTGCGCCACATCGGTAACTGGTTGTGATGTTGGAGATGCAGATGTTGGTTGTGTGGATTGTGCAGTGTTGAGTGTAGTCTCAGTGTTGATGATGGTGGTGGTGTTGGGCACGACTTGTGCGTTGTCGAGTAATTGTTCTGTTGTGAGTTGCGCCACATCGGTAACTGGTTGTGATGTTGGTGATGCAGATGTTGGTTGTGTGGATTGTGCAGTGTTGAGTGTAGTCTCAGTGTTGATGATGGTGGTGGTGTTGGGCACGACTTGTGCGTTGTCGAGTAATTGTTCTGTTGTGAGTTGCGCGACATCGGTATCTGGTTTTGACGTTGTTGGTCTGTATAAATGTTGTTTATAATTTTCATTATTATTTGTATTGTCACTATTTATGTTTGTGATGATTGTTTTTGTTTTTGTCGTTTTTGTTATTCTTGTGATGGTTGTTGTGTTGATCTCCTCTTTGTTTTCGACATATTTTTCTCTGGGAAATTTCGCTAGCTCTTCATGTGGTTTTGATTTCGTTGTTTCCGATGATGTTTGTGTTCTTTCTGGATAATTTAGTTTACTATCTGTATTTGTTGTTGTTATCGTAGTTGTGGTGTTTTTTGTTGTGATTGTTGTTGTTTTGATTTTGGTCTTGTTCCATTTATTTTGTGAATTGTCACGATATCGTTCTGTTGTTGGCTGAATAACGTCAGTAACTAAATTTGTGTTTGGTGATTCAGAATTTTTTTTTGTCGATTGTGTAATATTGAGTATTGTCTCATTATTGGTATGTATTGGCTTTTTATCAATTTTCTCTTCCTTTTTCGTCTTTTCATCTATTTTTGTTACTTCGTTTTCTTTCCGACATTTTTGATCATCTTGTTTTTCTGTTTGTATTATTTTTTGTTGTTGCTCTACTTGAAATTCACTGATATTTCTTTCTGTTTTCGATATTGCACGCTGCTCTTGATTTTGTACAATCGATGATTTTCTGTCATCTCCTTCCGATATTTGTCTTTGTAACGCTAATCGTTTCTCATTTGTTCCACTGAAATCTATGATAAGTTGTGTTTGTTGTGACTTCCTTTTCTTTTCATTGTCAGTATCTGATTTCGTTTCTTGTTCTTCGCCTCCATATTTCACATTTGATTCGTTTACATTTTGATCGTACATGTGATCATTCGATGTGGTCACTGATAAATTGGGCATCGGAATTTCGTTTGTTAATGATGAATTCAATTGATTTTGCACTAGATTCATAACATCCATTTCCGATTGATTGTTCTTGGCAATCGGATTAGTTTCATTTGCATCAAAAACAATATGTGAGATAGTTTGATTCTGTTGTACATTGGTGTGTTCATTTAGTTGTCCACTAATGTGATTCAATTTTAGTGTCAAATAGAAACAGAATGTCAATAAAATCATCTTCATCAATATCATGATTTGTGTGTGATTGAATCAGAGTTATTCATAAGATAATCAGTGTGATATGAAGTTGAATTTGCAACTTCAATACGCTGTACTTGTAAATCAGTTTCACTTATATACTAATTTTCTTGTTGCTAATATGTTGTATGAATAAAATGACAAGAGTTCACGTAGACAATACAGATCACCTCTCATAAGTGTGATCGTTTAATAATCCTTTTCATATACAATTTCTCACTTTATACTTTAATTGAATGAAAACCTGTAAAGGGCATTGTCTATCATTTGATTAACTAATGTATTTGAATGGTAGTCTTTAATAACATAACCCATATTAACACTAATATTTGTCATTGTAATCAAACCACAATCGTTTTAATCTTAGTTCTTAAAAGATCAGTGTTTGTGAAAAGAGATTAATTTATTTAGTTGTTATCCTTCTCAACTTTAAATTCAATCCACTTACATAATCTTTATCAGTGTTTTTATCTGCTGATAATTTTTGACTTCATGTTTCATTCAATGTGACCTAATGCAATATTATTCTATTATTATTGAACATTCTCAAATCAGCACGTAGATCAGCACATTGGATATATATTAACACGTTGGATATATTCTTATTAATTTGTATATATACTAATGTGAATATCAGTAACTCTAGTATTGTAGTTGTTGTTGTATATGCGGTAATAGCAATAGTTCTAGTGGGAATATGAGTAATCGTGATGTAAGTAATACTTGAGGTTTAGGCGACTGAAATATAGAGAAGAGAGAAGGAAACTGATAGCAATCAAGATAACAACAGGAATGAAGCAACAATGAAGCTTGTAAGAGACGATGATATGATGTGAAAATGCATTAGTTTACGTATGATTTTCACACTTTACTAAACCATTGTGTAATTATGTACCGATCAATATAAACTGGCCTTTTTCATCTGAGTGTTCGTTCACTACAGTAGTAGTAATTTGAGAAGTAGTATTAATAGTATTATGAGTAGTAGTAGTAGTAGTAGTAGTAGTAGTAGTAGTAGTAGTAGTAGTAGTAGTAGTAGTAGTAGTAGTAGTAGTAGTAGTAGTAGTAGTAGTAGTAGTAGTAGTAGTAGTAGTAGTAGTAGTAGTAGTAGTAGTAGTAGTAGTAGTAGTAGTAGTAGTAGTAGTAGTAGTAGTAGTAGTAGTAGTAGTAGTAGTAGTAGTAGTAGTAGTAGTAGTAGTAGTAGTAGTAGTAGTAGTAGTAGTAGTAGTAGTAGTAGTAGTAGTAGTAGTAGTAGTAGTAGTAGTAGTAGTAGTAGTAGTAGTAGTAGTAGTAGTAGTAGTAGTAGTAGTAGTAGTAGTAGTAGTAGTAGTAGTAGTAGTAGTAGTAGTAGTAGTAGTAGTAGTAGTGTAGTAGTAGTAGTAGTAGTAGTAGTAGTAGTAGTAGTAGTAGTAGTAGTAGTAGTAGTAGTAGTAGTAGTAGTAGTAGTAGTAGTAGTAGTAGTAGTAGTAGTAGTAGTAGTAGTAGTAGTAGTAGTAGTAGTAGTAGTAGTAGTAGTAGTAGTAGTAGTAGTAGTAGTAGTAGTAGTAGTAGTAGTAGTAGTAGTAGTAGTAGTAGTAGTAGTAGTAGTAGTAGTAGTAGTAGTAGTAGTAGTAGTAGTAGTAGTAGTAGTAGTAGTAGTAGTAGTAGTAGTAGTAGTAGTAGTAGTAGTAGTAGTAGTAGTAGTAGTAGTAGTAGTAGTAGTAGTAGTAGTAGTAGTAGTAGTAGTAGTAGTAGTAGTAGTAGTAGTAGTAGTAGTAGTAGTAGTAGTAGTAGTAGTAGTAGTAGTAGTAGTAGTAGTAGTAGTAGTAGTAGTAGTAGTAGTAGTAGTAGTAGTAGTAGTAGTAGTAGTAGTAGTAGTAGAGTAGTAGTAGTAGTAGTAGTAGTAGTAGTAGTAGTAGTAGTAGTAGTAGTAGTAGTAGTAGTAGTAGTAGTAGTAGTAGTAGTAGTAGTAGTAGTAGTAGTAGTAGTAGTAGTAGTAGTAGTAGTAGTAGTAGTAGTAGTAGTAGTAGTAGTAGTAGTAGTAGTAGTAGTAGTAGTAGTAGTAGTAGTAGTAGTAGTAGTAGTAGTAGTAGTAGTAGTAGTAGTAGTAGTAGTAGTAGTAGTAGTAGTAGTAGTAGTAGTAGTAGTAGTAGTAGTAGTAGTAGTAGTAGTAGTAGTAGTAGTAGTAGTAGTAGTAGTAGTAGTAGTAGTAGTAGTAGTAGTAGTAGTAGTAGTAGTAGTAGTAGTAGTAGTAGTAGTAGTAGTAGTAGTAGTAGTAGTAGTAGTAGTAGTAGTAGTAGTAGTAGTAGTAGTAGTAGTAGTAGTAGTAGTAGTAGTAGTAGTAGTAGTAGTAGTAGTAGTAGTAGTATAGTAGTAGTAGTAGTAGTAGTAGTAGTAGTAGTAGTAGTAGTAGTAGTAGTAGTAGTAGTAGTAGTAGTAGTAGTAGTAGTAGTAGTAGTAGTAGTAGTAGTAGTAGTAGTAGTAGTAGTAGTAGTAGTAGTAGTAGTAGTAGTAGTAGTAGTAGTAGTAGTAGTAGTAGTAGTAGTAGTAGTAGTAGTAGTAGTAGTAGTAGTAGTAGTAGTAGTAGTAGTAGTAGTAGTAGTAGTAGTAGTAGTAGTAGTAGTAGTAGTAGTAGTAGTAGTAGTAGTAGTAGTAGTAGTAGTAGTAGTAGTAGTAGTAGTAGTAGTAGTAGTAGTAGTAGTAGTAGTAGTAGTAGTAGTAGTAGTAGTAGTAGTAGTAGTAGTAGTAGTAGTAGTAGTAGTAGTAGTAGTAGTAGTAGTAGTAGTAGTAGTAGTAGTAGTAGTAGTAGTAGTAGTAGTAGTAGTAGTAGTAGTAGTAGTAGTAGTAGTAGTAGTAGTAGTAGTAGTAGTAGTAGTAGTAGTAGTAGTAGTAGTAGTAGTAGTAGTAGTAGTAGTAGTAGTAGTAGTAGTAGTAGTAGTAGTAGTAGTAGTAGTAGTAGTAGTAGTAGTAGTAGTAGTAGTAGTAGTAGTAGTAGTAGTAGTAGATGAATAATTAGTACTAAATAGAAGTGCACATGAAAGGAATGTCATCATTATGGTTGTGAGTCAACAATACAGAAGAAGGATTATTATGAGGATATTAATCAGTTAATGTGATTTGATCTAACTATTTCAAACTTATTATTGAGAATCACCGTCAGATTATGATGTTTGTACCAATTGTTCATTAATATTTCACAGTGTTCGAAGCATTTTCTAATACAGTCGAAAGGGTACAGCTCTAATAGACTTATTTCTTTGTTAGTTATGTATCTGATTTTGTTTCGATGAAGTTATTTCCCAACAGAACGATCAACAGTCCAACCAATAACATATGTTGATCTTAATGTTCAATTTATCGAGGATTTAAAATTATAGAAGTTTATTAAAACAACTATAAGAAAAAATATTGGTACACAGTACTCTTTTTTTTAGTTTAACTTGGCACTCAAACCTACGAGAAAGTAGTATATTTTAAAATATGCGATATTGTGTGAACAGAGAATAGGAGTTAATAGGGAAATAATATGAATCTCTATGCTCTTTTGCTTTGAAAAGAAATTATGCTACTGTTATATCTTGTGACCGCCGATTAGAGGGCAGTGAATTATCGATCGGACCAAGGACGCGTAAAACACGTGCGAGCAGCCTAGAGTCCTAATTATCCCTGCTCCCTGCCTAGCCCAGCCAGTTAAGTTCAGAACACAAGTCTCAGCCTCTGCAATATAAATCATTATATTTCAAACATACTGAGTTTATAAACCAATCAAACAGACCACAACGTACCAATAAAATAGAAAGTAACATTTGTACAAAATCTGGCCGAATGTGGCTGTGAATGAGGGAGGTAGTGATTAATAGACAGGGCATAATTTAAGAATGGAAAATCGTATAATAACAGTTCATAGGTTAAAATAAAGCTTATGACAAGAGAGACAGGAATATGAATAATTTAGTTAATTAACAATTATGCGATAAAAATATACTCATGATATTGGTCCATAAATGGATCGCAAAAATTACCATTCATTATTCTTATCGGGACACAACAACTACTCATGTTTTGTTCTTTCTACATCAGTGAACTATGCGGTAAGGTTCACCGCTTCCCGATCATGTAGTCTTTTCACTTGTACTCTAAGAAAGAAAGATAATCTTGGAATGAAAACGTTAAAGCTAAGAAATTCTTTACATTGACTACTATTCTGAACACATACTATCTTAGTTTTGCTTAGATAAAGTTGACTATAGTTTGCAAGATAATTTAAAATGTTACGTGTTGAAATTAATTTTCTATGGAGTGACCAAATAAATAGAAACTATAAATAGAGTATGATATTATGTAGTTGAAGTTAGAGTAACCATTTGAGGTCAGTATAACTAAGATAAACGATAAAAGTATTGGTTGTTACCGCTTTCATGGTAACAGTATAGTGGAATATACCTGAAGTATTAGGATAGATAACTGTATTAGAAGTATAAACAGGTTAGAAACTACTTATGAACGATGGTATGAACAGTTTTGGGGATTAAGATAGCCATATTACGTTCTCAGATAAAAATAATTGTGTAATCGAGGTATTGAAACATTTACTTTCAACGTAATTTAGTCTAGATGTGCAGTTCCACAAAGTGAGTTCACGTAAATAATTCTGTGCATGGTTGATACGTATGCTATTTAGATCAGTGAATCAATTAATAGCTTTCAGTTAGTCATTTCACACAAGTCCTATACAAGTAAGTTTTCTACATCTAGTGATTTGCTTTTATTAATTCCTTTAAGTTTTAGCTTTACAACTCTGACTTTTTCCGTTAATTAACGAGAAGATTCTTCTCTGTAATTAGTCTGGCAATGATTCTAGAATACCGTCTGTAATATCCCTACAAAATGTCCCTTGGTAACTTATTAAGATCTGAAATCCAACAAAATGAGGCTAAGTTCAATTTCATTATAAATAAAAGAATTTTCAAGAACATAAACTTGATTCAATGATTCGTATTAGCTAAAGATAAAAA